AAGGAGGTGGGGAAAATTTTGGCGGTATGGTGGGAAAATGTTTTGGGGGGGGATTTTGGGGGGGAAATGGTAAAATTGGCAAAATTTCAGGGAAACCCCAAAAGATAAACTTTAATTTAAAAAAGGGTTGAAAAAGGGGGAAAAATTTTTTAATGAATTTCCAGGGGGTTTTTTTTAAGGGGGGGGTTGCCAAAAATTTTTTAAAATTTTTCCCCCCAAAAACCTTGGGAAAAGGGGGGATGAAAAACACTTCCTGAACAGGTTCCCCGTCCAATGTAGGCCCCCCCATGCTTTGACCGTCCATACCCAAGGCTTGGGGGGGGCCTCCCAGTGTGTAGTGGCCACCGGGGAAACACTTGGGGTAGATGATAAATGGGGGGACGTCCTCCCCAGCTGCATTGAAGCAGGCCAGCACTGTGATGTGCTCCTTGGTCCCTGGAGCCTGCTGGTACACGTGTTTTGCGCCCCGGGGAGCCAGCACTTTGTGCCTGCTCTGGTCGCTACGAAACCCAGGCTCATCGCAGTTATAGATTTGTCTGAGTTTTTCCCTCAACCCACTCTCCTCCAAGTGCTTCTCATAAGAAGTGAAGAAGGTGTCCATCGTCGGACATGTGGCACACTCAGCTCTCCCCCTGTCCAGGGTGTCCGGCCTCCTCATGCTCAGGTTCTTGTGCCTCCTTCTGAACATTTCCCACCACCTCTGCCCCAGTGGTGGGATTGTTTCCCCTGGGTGCCGAAACCTACAATAGAATAGAATATATAATTGTCCATCCAGGATGAAAATGTTTGTTTTGGTATCACCATACACATCCACATTTACATCACACACATTGAGAACAGTCAGTCCACCAATCTACATACATAAACACATAGAACACCAAATACCTGCGTATTTTGTTGGCATATTTCATCAGCCTCTGTCTGGTGAAGGGGAACCCATGGCTGGCACAGTAGATGCAGTACTGCACCAGAGCAAGCAATTTGGGTGGTCCACTACGACAACCATGGGTCACCCGGCCGCCAGGGTCTGCCGAGGTACACCATGCACCTTGGTAGATAAGAAAAGAAAACTGTTACTAGCAGATAAAATTCACATACACATGGTAATCTCCTAAAAACAAAAGATGCCTAACCTTGGCAGCCTGGCGGATAGCCATCCCTGCCCGCAGTCCTCCATGGCATGGAACATGTCCATCTCACTCCACTGCTTCCTCCTGACTTTCTCCATGCTGTGGTGGTAAATACATGTAGCTAAATAACTTGGCATACTATACACGTTTTAGAAAGATAACTCAATCTGAATATGTATAAACATTTACATTTCAAAGCTAAGGCATTGAAAGGTGATTTAAAGTTTTCACAATAACTGAAAGTGTAACCATGTTTTTTGTTTGTCATCTGTAATGTAAATGTGTGTCACAATTAGTTTAATATTGATGCATACATTGTAACATTTGACTAAATACTGCCTCTATGTAGCTGTTGTAAGATTAAACATAGCCAACAGTGAAAGGTGTCAAAAAGTTAATGGTTCAAAGTTCCAAATACATTTTTGCAGATTGTGCAAAACGCCTCCGTCAGAGGACTCCAATTTTGATACGGTAAAGCTTTACAACATTCAGCTGTTTTCGTGATATGTATTATCTAACGCTTACAATTTCTTTACTTTTTGCTGTCTTAGCCGTTCTATCAACATTTAGCAACTAAGCTAGCAACATTTAGAAAATCCGTTAGCTATATTTGAGGTAAAAAGTTGGATATTAAATGATGTGTGGTCTGTCGCACAGTCTAATTTTACAATATGCAGCGTGTCCCACAAAATGTGTACATATCACTTTTTTGTAAACTCTCAAAACCTAACTTAAATAACATTAATTGCACTGTAAATCGGTGGTCAGCTAGCTAGAAGGGTGTCTTTAGTCGCAAAACGTACCGTTATTTTCCAGTCCATTTAAATGTTGAGCTCGAGGTGATTTAGTCCTCCAACCGCTAGAGAGTGTCCGAAGTTAGGGGATGTCCGATGTTGGGGGGAAATTAGCTAGTTTTGGCAAGCCGGTAGGACATCTACTTTGTGCTTGACACTAGTAATTCTTCCAACAATTGTTTACAGACAGATTATTTCACTTATAATTCACTGTATCACAATTCCAGTGGGTCAGAAGTTGACTGTGCCTTTTAAACAGCTTGGAAAATTCCAGAAAATGATGTCATGGCTTTAGAAGCTTCTGATAGGCTAATTGACATCATTTGAGTCAATTGGAGGTGTACCTGTGGATGTATTTCAAGGCCTACCTTCAAATGCAGTGCCTCTTTGCTTGACATCATAGGAAAATCTAAAGAAATCAGCCAAGACCTCAGGAAAAAAATTGTAGACCTCCACAAGTCTGGTTCATCCTTGGGAGCAATTTCCAAACGCCTGAAGGTACCACGTTCATCTGTACAGACAATAGTACGCAAGTATAAACACCATGGGACCACACAGCTATCATACCGCTCAGGAAGGAGACGCGTTCTGTCTCCTAGAGATGAACGTACTTTGGTGCGAAAAGTGCAAATCAATCCCAGAACAACAGTAAAGGACCTTGTGAAGATGCTGGAGGAAACAGGTACAAAAGTATCTATATCCACAGTAAAACAAGTCCTATATCGACATAACCTGAAAATCTGCTCCGCAAGGAAGAAGCCACTGCTCCAAAACCGCCATAAAAAAGCCAGACTACGGTTTGCAACTGCACATGGGGACAAATATCTTACTTTTTGGAAAAATGTCCTCTGGTCTGATGAAACAAAAATAGAACTGTTTAGCCATAATGACCATTGTTATGTTTGGAGGAAAAAGGGGAAGGCTTGCAAGCCGAAGAACACCATCCCAACCGTGAAGCACGGGGGTGGCAGCATCATGCTGTGGGGGTGCTTTGCTGCAGGAGGGGCTGGTGCGCCTCACAAAATAGGAAGGAAAATGATGTGGATATATTGAAGCAACATCTCAAGACATCAGTCAGGAAGTTAAAGCTTGGTCGCAAATTGGTCTTCCAAATGGACAATGACCCCAAGCATACTTCCAAAGTTGTGGCAAAATGGCTTAAGGACAACAAAGTCAAGGTATTGGAGTGGTCATCACAAAGCCCTGACCTCAATCATATCAAAAAGAAAATGTGTGGGCAGAACTGAAAAAGCGTGTGCGAGCAAGGAGGCCTACAAACCTGACTCAGTTACACCAGCTCTGTTAGGAGGAATGGGCCAAAATTCACCCAACTTATTGTGGGAAGCTTGTGGAAAGCTCCCCAAAACGTTTGACTCAAGTTAAACAATTTAAAGGCAATGCTACCAAATACTAATTGAGTGTATGTAAACTTCTGACCCACTGGGAATGTGATGAAATAAATAAAAGCTGAAATAAATAATTCTCTACTATTATTCTGACATTTCACATTCTTAAAATAAAGTGGTGATCCTAACTGACCTAAAACAGGGAATTTTTACTAGGATTAAATGTCAGGAATTGTGAAAAACTGAGTTTAAATGTATTTGGCTAAGGTGTATGTAAACTTCCGACTTCAACTGTACATTAGGTTATGGGTTAAGGTTAGGGTTAGGAGTAAGGTTAAAAGGTTAGGGTTTGGGGAAGGGTTAGCTAACATGCTAAGTAGTTGCAAAGTAGCTAAGAAATAGTAAGTGCTAATTAGCTAAAATGCTAACGTTGTCCATGATGAGATTCGAACAATAAACCTTTGGGTTGCTAGACCTTAAGTAACCTATTGTCCATACCAAACACAACCTATCATACTAATTTGAGTGTTCTTGATTTACATTTACGATGTTGCTTCTAGTCAATGCAACCTAACGTAAAGTAACATATCATACTAAATTGAGTGGCGCGGATTTTAGTAACATATAATACGTTTTGCTCTCTGAGACCAGGCTGGGGTGCCATTTTGACATACAGACAATGCTTGCCACATACTGTACAGCCTACAGTCCTGCCTTCCATAAAACCAGTACAGAATTAAGTTACTGTAGAGAGAATCTTGTAAGCATTCTATCTGTCTCCCTGTACAGTGTTTCAATCTTTTCGACAGTGCTCATTTTCCTCAAGAAATTGCTTTCCGCTCTAGATGGCGCTTTTAAAGTTAATGTCCGTGTTTGCTGTTCAGGTCAAAGTAATAACTATTTTACCAGAGACTGTAGTAGTCACTTGTAGCTGTCTTCAAACATATGACATGATGAAAGTGGATCACATCTTTGATTATAAAGGATAAATTATTGCTCTGGAAATGTCAGTTAGAACCAGTTCAAATTAATGTATTTAGGGTAGTTTTTTTATGCTGCTGTGAATGAGTGCACTGTTGTGTTTTACTAGGAAACTGTACTCCTCATGGACAAGCTTTTATTAGCTGTTGAGCTGCTTCCAAGCTGCTTCTGAGTCACTGAGATAGATTTACTGTTTGTCTTCTCTCTCTATAGACTCCCTTATTAAAACAGAACTCTCATCAATCTTAAATACAAATTGGTAATTATTTTCTTAGATTTTTCTGCAAGTGTTTATGCTTAGTTAAACTCCTAGAAAACGACTTGAACTATTGATATTATACTAATTGTGTCTGTGTCATAATTTCTACTCATTTATAATAATTATAATAATATAATAATATGCCATTTAGCAGACGCTTTTATCCAAAGCGACATACAGTCATGCGTGCATACATTTTTGTGTATGGGTGGTCCCGGGGATCGAACCCACTACCTTGGCGTTACAAGCGCCGTGCTCTACCAGCTGAGCTACAGAGGACCACAAATAGCTAAATGAGAATATTAGCTAGATGAGAACTCGATTAAAACATAAAGCTGTTTGATGCCCTTCAGTAGCCTTATTATTCAGTGCTTAGTTAACTAGGGTTGCAGAAATGCAGGAGAAACACAAAGCTAGAGCCTACCCATCATATACATGTCCTCTCTGCATTAGTGTACTGAAATAGCTAGTCTTATTGTTTACCAGTACAATGGAGCAGGATGATGCCCTCCTAGTGAGAATGCTCTCCGTAAGCTTAGAGGACAAGGAGCTGGTTTTTACTTGACTTCATAAATGAGATGAGTTTAAATGAAATGTCAGTGTTTGTGGTGCACACAGTAGGAGTTCCACTCTGTTTGGGCTTATCACACCCTATAGATTTCCTAGAGTTCCTCGGAGTTCTGCTTTGTTTTTCTCTGTTACTCAAAGGCATGTTTTCTTTTTCCTTTTAGTTTCTGGACATAAACTGGACAGGCCTCACAAATATGCTGGACATTCCAGGCTTGAAGTAAGTGACAACTGCACGACTGCTTCTTATTACTGTTGTGGTGTGGAACTGGCCTAACCCATAATATAGGCGTGTTAGGGGAATTAGGTTTCGTATTGGTCTATTCAGAGGGCGTTGTCCACAGTTACAGGACACATTAATTGTATCCATGTCTGCATCCCAAATGGCAACCCTTTCCCTAGATAGTACACTACAAGTAGTGCACTATGTACAGTGCCTTCAGAAAGTATTCAAACCTCTTGACTTTTTCCACATTTTGTTGTGTTACAGCCTGAATTTAAAATGGATAACATTTAGATTTTATGTCACTGGTCTACACACAATACCCCATCATGTCAAAGTGGAATTATGTTTTTAGAAATTTTTACAGATTGAATTAAAAATGAAAAGCTGAAATGTCCTTGAGTCAGTAAGTATTCAACCCCTTCGTTATGGAAAGCCTAAATATGTTTCAGGAGAAAATATTTGCATAACAAGTCACATAAGAAGTTGCATGGACACACTCTGTGTGTAATAATAGTGGTTAACATGATTTTTGAATGACTAACTCATCTCTGTACCCCACACATACAATTATCTGTAAGTTCCCTCAGTCGAGCAGTGAATTTCAAACACCGATTCAACCACAAAGACCAGGGAGGTTTTCCAATGCCTCGCAAAGAACGGCACCTATTGGAAGATTAGGTACAAATAAAAAAAGCAGACAATGAATATCCCTTTGAGCATGGTGAAGTTATTAATTACACTTTGGAATACACCCAGTCACTACAAAGATACAGGCCTCCTTCCTAACTCAGTTACCGGAGAGGAAGGAAACCGCTCAGGGATTTCACCATGAGGCCAATGGTGACTTTAAACAGTTACAGAGTTTATTGGCTGTGATCTGAGAAAACTGAGGATGGATCAACAACATTGTAGTTACTCCACCATATTAACCTAAATGACAGAGTGAAAAGGAAGCCTGTAGAGAATAAAAATATTCCAAAACATGCATCCTGTTTGCAATAAGGCACTAAAGTAAAACTGCAAAAATGTGGCAAACAAATGAACTTTATGTCTTGAATACAGAGTTATGTTTGCGTCAAATCCAACACAACACATCACTGAGTACCATTCTTCATATTTTTAAGCATGGTAAGGGAAAGGGCATATCTAGTCAGTTGCACAACTGAATGCATTCAACCAAAATGTGTCTTCCGCATTTAACCAACCCCTCTGAATCAGAGAGGTGTGGGGGGCTGCCTTAATCAACGTCCATGTCATCGGCGCCCGGGGAGCAGTTGTTGTGGGGGGTTTAACCTTGCCGCCGTGGGGATTTGAACAAGCAACCTTTCGGTTACTGTCCCAACGCACTAAGTGCTAGGCTACCTGCCGCATCATGTTATGGGTATGCTTGTCATCGGTAAGGACTACGGAGTTTTTTAGGATAAAAAGAAACAGAAATCACAGGCAAAATCCTAGAGGAAAACCTGGTTCAGTCTGCTTTCCAACAGACACTGGGAGACATTCACCTGTCAGCAGGACAATATAAACAAAGGCCAAATATACACTGGAGTTGCTTACCAAGATAACATTGAATGTTCCTGAGTAGCCTAGTTACAGTTTTGATGTAAATCAGCTTGAAAATGTATGGCAAGACTTGAAAATGGCTGTCTAGCAATGATCAACAACCAACTTGACAGAGCTTGAAGAATTTTTAAAAGAATCATGTGCAAATATTATACAATCCAGGTGTGCAAAGCTCTTAGGTTGTGTCTTCACCTGACACATACATGCGACTTCTGCTATCAGAATACGAAGATCGCATTGAAATGACCGGTCTAGACGCACAAAAGTCACTTTGTGGTCTGATTGTGTTCAGATCTGTCTGACCACTTCGGGAGGTGGTCAGTGATGCATTGTGTGCGGATTTCTCCTCAGTCTGGACGCAATCAGGCTACCGAACGCGCATACAGTGTTCATGAGTCTTATGGCTTGGGGGTAGAAGCTGTTAAGAAGCCTTTTGGATCTAGACTTGGCGCTCCGGTACCGCTTGCTGTGCAGTAGCAGAGAGAACAGTCTATGACTAGGGTGGTTGGAGTCCTTGACAATTTTTATGGCCTTCCTCTGACACTGCCTGGTATAGAGGTCCTGGATGGCAGGGAGCTTGGCCCCAGTGATGTACTGGGCCGTACGCACTACCCTCTATAGTGCCTTGCGGTCGGTAGCCGAGCAGTTGCCATACCAGGCGGTGATGCAACTAGTCAGGATGCTCTCGATGGTGCAGCTGTAGAACCTTTTGAGGATCTGAGGACCCATGCCAAATCTTTTCAGTCTCCTGAGGGGGAATAGATTGGTGTCACTCGTGCTTCCTGCTTAATTTTTTGCTTATAAGCAGTAATCTGGAGGATATAATTATGGTCAGATTTGCCAAATGGAGGGCAAGGGAGAGCTTTGTACGCGTCTGTGTGTGGAGTAAAGGTGGTCTAGAGTTATATATATATATATTTTTTCTGGTTGCACATTTAACATGCTGGTAGAAATTAGGTAGATCGGATGTAAGTTTCCCTGCATTAAAGTCCCCGGCCACTAGGAGCGCTGCCTCTGGATGAACGTTTTCCTGTTTGCTTATGGCCTTATACAGCTCATTGAGTGTAATCTTAGTGCCAGCATTGGTTTTTGGTGGTAAATAGACAGCTACGAAAAATATAGATGAAAACTCTCTTGGTAAATACAGCTTATCATGAGATACTCTACCTCAGGCGAGCAAAACCTCGAGACTTCCTTAGTATTAGATTTCGTGCTCCAGCTGTTGTTTACAAATATACACAGACCGCCACCCCTTCTCTTACCGGAGTCAGCCGTTCTATCCTGCCGATGTAACGTATATCCCGCCAGCTGTATGGTATCCATGTCGTCGTTCAGCCACGACTCTGTGAAACATAAGATATTACCGTTTTTAATGTCCCGCTGGTAGGATATCCTTGATCTTAGGTCGTCCATTTTGTTTTCGAATGATTGTACGTTGGCCAATAGGACTGATGGAAGAGGCAGATTACTTGCTCGCCATCGGATCCTTACAAGACACCCCGACCTACGTCCACGATATCTTTTTCTCATGCGAATAACAGGGATTTGGGCCTTGTCGGGTGTCTGTAGAATATCCTTTGCGTCCGACTCGTTGAAGAACAAATCTTAGTCCAATACGAGGTGAGTAATCGCTGTCCTGATATCCAGAAGCTCTTTTTGGTCATAGGTGGCAGAAACATTATGTACAGAATAAATTACAAATAACGTGAAAAAACACACATAATAGCACAATTGGTTAGGGGGCCGTAAAACGGCAGCCATCTCCTACGGCGCCATCTGATTATGGTTATAAATGTTTTACTCAGGCTGTAACACCACACAATGTCGAATAAGTCAAGGGGTATGAATACTTTTTGTGCGTCCCAAATGTCACCCTATTCCCTACATGTACATGTAGGGAATAGGATGACATTTGGGATGCACAGCTTGTCATCAGTCCAAATAGGCTAATAGATTAGAGGCAACCATTTTACCAGGGATGAAGGGAGGAGGTAGAGGAGGAGGGGAAGGTATCTATATCTATATCATGCAGTTCATTGTGCCAGTGAAAGGCTAAAGGCTGATTCGGCTTACTAGGCTGTTTAGATAGTTTATTCAGGGCTGGGCTGGCTCCTGTGCCTGGAATGAAAACAGCTCTGTCCCTCCTGCGATGACAACCAGGGATGCATCTCAAATGACAGCCTATATCCCTATATAGTGCACTACTTTTGACCAGGCCTGGTCAAAAGTAGTACACTATTATAGAGAATAGGGTAGCATTTGGGACACAAACAAGGCAGGACAAACAGACAGGAGGGAACATGAACATGAAGGCCTCATTGTTGTGGAGAGAGGGCCAGGTGGCAGCTTTCAGGGCTGGTGGTGATGGTGAGGTAGGCATGTCAACACATTCTCACCATTTGAGAAATTGTGTGGTAATAAACCATGGTAGGTATAAATGGCTAACACAGGCTGATCCACTCTTTCAGACAGGGCTGCAGTCTGTGGGAGATGTGGAGGGGGAATGGTCATCATGGCTCTCTCTGGGTGTGTTCCAAATGACACCCTATTCCCTATATAGAGCACTACTTTTGACCAGGGCCCATAAAGAATAGGGTACCATTTGGGATGTAGCCCCTGTTGCTGTGTGTTAAAAGTAGTCGTGCACCACTGTGAGGTCACAGCTCCATGAGCAGCTCTAAGCAAAGCAGCCATGTGGTGGAGGGTGTGCTATTAGCGGAAAAGTAGCTATCACATAAACTCCCCTCCATATGTATTTAGACAGTGAAGTTAAAATGTTTTATTGTGTCCAAGGAATATGGGACCAAATACTAAACTTTTGTCCAAATACTTATGACTTCTTCAAATGGGGGGACTAGATACATGGTGCTTTCATTTCTAAATGGTGAAACATATGTATGAACATACTCATTACCTTCAAATGAAGGCTGTACTGTCACCTAAAATGAAACATTCCATCTCAAATCTAAAATGCTGGAGTATAGACCCAAATATAGAATTTTAGCTTCTCTGTCCAAATACATACAGTGCATTTGGAAACTATTCAGACCCATTTACTTTTTCCACATTTTGTTACATTACAGCCTTATTATAAAATTGATTAAATTGTTTTTTCCCCTCATCAATCTACATACAATACCCCATAATGACAAAGGGATTAACAGCTTTTGAGATTTTTTTGCGAATGAATAAAATAAACAGAAATATTACGTTTACATAAGTATTCAGACCCTTTACTCAGTACTTTGTTGAAGCACCTTTGGCAGCGATTACAGCCTCGAGTCTTCTTTGGTATGACGCTACAAGCTTGGCACACCTGTATTTGGGGAGTTTCTCCCATTATTCTCTGCAGAACCTCTCAACCTCTGTCAGGTTGGATGGGGAGCGTTGCTGCACAGCTATTTTCAGGTCTCTCCAGAGATGTTCGATTGGGTTCAAGTCCGGGCTCTGACTGGGTCACTCAAGGACATTCAGAGACTTGTCCCGAAGCCACTCCTGTGTTGTCTTGGCTGTGTGCTTAGGGTCGTTATCCTGTTGGAAGGTGAACCTTCGCCCCAGTCTGAGGTCCTGAGTGCTCTGGAGCAGGTTCACCCCAGTCAGGTTTTCATCAAGGATCTCTCTGTACTTTGCTCCATTCATCTTTCTCTCGATCCTGACTAGTCTCCTAGTCCCTGCCGCTGAAAAACATCCCCACCGCATGATGCTGCCACCAACATGCTTCACTGTAGGGATGGTGCCAGGTTTCCTCCAGACGTGATGCTTGGCATTCAGGCCAAAGAGTTCAATCTTGGTTTCATCAGACCAGAGAGTCTTGTTTCTCATGGTCTGAGAGTCTTTAGGTGCCTTATGGTAAACTCCAAGCGGGCTGTCCTGCCTTTTATTTATTTCTGTTTTTATGTTTAATACATTTTCAAAAAATTCTAAACCGGTTTTCGCTTTGTCGTTATGAAGTAACGTGTGTAGATTTATGAGTAAAAACATTTATTCTATCTATCTAAGGCTATAATGTAACAAAATGTGGAAAAGGGGAAGGGGTCTGAATACTTTCCGAATGCGTTTTATGGAGGGGAGTGTCCACGCTACTATACCCCAGAGCTAGCTTGTTTCAACATTTCACAACTCATGTTCTGTTCAATAGCGTTCTCATTTGGGGGTGTTTTTACCCTTTACACTCGTGGGAATTGGCCTATATGGATAAATTGCAATGTTTCTAACAGAAGAAATATGAAAAGCATAAGCATGGTAGCAATTGAAAGGGAACAGTTTGGAGATTTGGGGTAAATTATTAGACCAACGTTGAGGACACAACAGTTAACCTGACAAGACTGAATCCAAACATTACACTGTTGATTTTATGTGCATTTTACATTCACTGTACTTTTCGCCGCATTTGTTGATAACGAAATCTGAAAATACTCTGGATACATTCAGTAACATGATAAGAATATTCATGGTAAATGTGGGGTAGCTGCAACAGGACACAAATAAAAGGGTTTGATTGAGAGGACTAAGTGGTGTCTCCAAGTGGCCACACCTCTCCAAAGTGTGCACAGTTCCGAAGTAATTCCAATGCACTCTTCAACTATAAGGTGCTTTTGAGCTCTCCTAGCTGTGCCATTGAGGAACTAGAGCAAGGACACTTGAAAGTTGTTTTTGTTTTGGAACACAACCCTGCGTTGCAGCAATCACACAATTACTGTTGTTTACGCAGTCCAAAAATTGCCTATTATAAATTGCAATATGGGTCAGGTGGGCATCATTTGAAAGCTTGTTCTATTGTCAACATGACTAGAAAGTAAAAAAATATGATCTTAGTGTTAGGCTTTCACAAGGAAATTCAGAGAAACAGATCGTAATTATGGTGCGCATAGAAAGGAGTGCTTTCAGGTGTGCCACTGTGAAATTTCTTCACAATAAGACAAATAGGCGTATTCTGTTCAGAACAACCCAGGGTTTGACGCCATGTCATCTAGTAACTGTATATCACACAGAGGGATCATAAACATTGACACTGTATATGACATGAGTTTTATTAAATGAAAATGTGAAATGCACATTTTAATTCACGGTTGTTTGGCTTGCTTAGCGGTATTTATTATAATTCTCATCTTTCAAAATACATTGAGTCCTCTTAATTTACAGCATTTCCCTCACTGACCTTTTTTTTTTTCAAAAGTTGCCCAACTAGCAGGAGGGATGTGGGCAACTTCTTGTCGCGTGCAGTGCTCAAGTCAGTCAAACCCCATACAGCGCTGTGTAGCGGAGACCCTGAACTCTGACGTCATTCATAGAATGTTACTGTACAGCCACTGCGTTCCAATTGAGGTGCTTATCAGTGCCATTTTCAACCAGTGTACAGGTACGAGTGTAAATGGCTACCTATCAAACTTATCTGCAAGTGATATGCTCACTTACGCCAAACAAAATGGGGGTCAAATAAAAACAAAGACCAATGGACGAACGTAAATACAGTTGTCCAGGTTATTTTCCCTGGAATATACTGTTAGAAGTGAACAACACGCCACACAGACAGGATCCTCATTGTACAGTGGGCCATCCAGAAATTTGAATGGGGACATTTGAATACACTTAATTCAATAGAGACATGTATAGGCCTAGATGGCTGTGGTGGTTTGATAGATAATGTAGAAGCTGTGCCCTGATCAAGGACCACAACTAAACAAATGAGTATAGTGCCTGGTGTGTCATTTTGTTTTGGTACGAGACACATTGTGGGTTTGACAGACTCCGCCCTGTGAAATGTAGCCTTCCTCGTTCTACAGGTTTGAAGGAAACACCAGTGTGTGTGTGTGTGTGTGTTCAACCTGAAACCTGCATTACTTCACCCTTTTCGCGTGCGTGTGGGTGGGTGTGTGTGAACAGACAGACAGAGGGGGTTCTGTGTGTGAGGCTCATGTTTCCTCTGGTATAATTTGCATCTCTCTCGCAAACAGCAGGCACCTCCGGTCACCCGTGAGTGTTTGTGTGGTGTGTGTTTTGTTTTGTTTTCTACTTCCCCAACACACAGACACGCTCTGAGTTTAAAAAGTTGAATTGTAGCTTTGCTGACCTTTTCCTACAAACAGACAAAAAGAAAGGACTGAGCACAAAATGCAAAGTTACTTACATTTGCTACTAATTATCTTTGTTGAAAACTTATAGCAGTTGAACACCAGAAATCAATAAATTCCTTCTGCAGATAAACCCAGAAATGTGCGGGATGGACTCCACATATTTCGGATACACACGTTCTCACTAAAAACAACCTCCTTTTATTGACGTCACAGAATATTGTAACCTCAGAGTTGTTTTGAGGACGGGATGGGGGAGGCTCTGCTGAACAATTAAACCCAGCTCTGAGGGACTAACACGCATCCAATGAAGGAATTCTCCATTCACTACAATGCTGCCATCTAGTGGGCATTAGAGAAACTGATAATTGACTGGTTTGGATTCACCCTTTATTTATTTTATTTATTTTTATTTCACCTTTATTTAACCAGGTAAGCCAGTTGAGAACAAGTTCTCATTTACAACTGCGACCTGGCCAAGATAAAACAAAGCAGTGTGATAAAAACAACAACAATGATAAGCTTTGTCTTGGCTCTAGTTGAAATACAGTGCATTCAGAAAGTATTCAAACCCCTTCCCTTTTTCCACATTTTGTTACGTTACAATTCTAAAATTGATTAAATAAATAAAAATCCTCATCTATCTACACACAGTATAATAATAACAAAGCGAAAACAGGTTTTTAGAAATGTTTGCAATGTATTAAAAATAGAAAATAGAAATACCTTATTTACGTAAGTATTCAGACCCTTTGCTATGAGACTCGAAATTGAGCTCAGGTGCATCCTGTTTCCATCATCCTTGAGATGTTTGTACAACTTGATAGGAGTGCACCTGTGATAAATTCAATTGATTGGACATGATTTGGAAAGGCACACACCTGTCTATATAAGGTCCCACAGTTGACAGTGCATGTCAGAGCAAAAACCAAGCCATGAGGTCAAAATAATTGTCCGTATAGCTCTGAGACCGGATTGTGTCGAGGCACAGATCTGGGGAAGGGTACCAAAAAAATTCTGCAGCATTGAAGGTCCCCAAGAACACAGTGGCCTCCATTATTCTTAAATGGAAGAAGTTTGGAACCACCAAGACTCTTCCTAGAGCTGGCTGCCCGGCCAAACTGAGCAATCGGGGGAGAAGGGCCTTGGTCAGGGAGGTGACCAAGAACTTGATGGTCACTCTGACAGAGCTCCAGAGTTCCTCTGTGAAGATGAGAGAACCTTCCAGAAGGACAACCATCTCTGTAGCACTCCACCAATCAGGCCTTTATGGTAGAGTGGCCAGATGGAAGCCACTCCTCAGTAAAAGGCACATGACAGCCCACTTGGAGTTTGCCAAAAGGCACCTAAAGGACTCTCAGACCATGAGAAACAAGATTCTCTGGTCTGCTGAAACCAAGAGTGAACTCTTTGGCCTGAATGCCAAGCGTCACGTCTGGAGGAAACCTGGCATAATCCCTACGGTGAAGCATGGTGGTGGCAGCATCATGCTGTGGGGATGTTTTTCAGCAGCAGGAACAGGGAGACTAGTCAGGATCGAGGGAAAGATGAATGGAGCAAAGTGCAGAGAGATCCTTGAGGAAAACCTGATCCAGAGCTCTCAGGACCACAGAAGGTTCACCTTCCAACAGGACAACGACCCTAGGCACCCAGCCAAGACAACGCAGGAGTGGCTTAGGGACAAGTCTCTGAATGTCCTTGAGTGGCCCAGTCAGAGCCCAGCCTTGAACCCGATCGAACATCTCTGGAGATACCTGAAAATAGCTGTGTAGCAATGCTCCCCATCCAACCTGACAGAGCTTGAGAGGATCTGCAGAGAAGAATGGGAGAAACTCCTCAAATACAGGTGTGCCAAGCTTGTAGCGTCATATCCAAGAAGACTCGAGGCTGTAATTTTTTTTTTTTTTTTACATTTCTAAAAACCAGTTTTTCTTAGTCATTATGGGGTATTGTGTGTAGATTGATGAGGGGGGAAAATAATGTAATCAATTTTAGGATAAGGCTGTAACGTAACAAAATGTGGAAAAAGTCAAGGGGTCTGAATACTTTCCGAATGCAGGACTTGTTTAACTTGTGGTTGGGCTCCTCTCTAGGGTTCAGAGTGTGACAGTGCCCTTGGCTTCTGCTGTCATTCATGGACTGAATCTCAAATGGCGCCCTTTTCCCTATATAGTGCACTAATTTTGATCAAGCCCCCCCCCCCACTTCTGTGAAGCCTCTTCTGCCTCTTCTGCTTGGTTATCAGTCTTGAAAATCACCAAATCAGTCACCAGATCACTGTTAAGTGTCAGTGCTACAAGACACTTCCATGGGGGGGGGTAATGATCTGCTTGAAATGGTGTCCCACATGGCACCCTTCTCCCTATTCACTATGGGCCCTGGTCAAAAGTAGTGCACTATATAGGGAATATAGTGCCATTTGAGACGTAGAATGTTGGTTGAAACGGGATGGAGGTAGCATCAGCCTGAATGGAAGATGTTTTTTTATCTGTGTCTCTGTGTCTCCTGGCCTGTGTGTGTTATAACCTGTCTCTCTTTGTCCCCCGTCAGTGGCCTGTGTGATAACCTGATCCAGGACATCATCTACAGCTACCTGGTCATGCCTAACCGCATCACCATTCCTCTGGTGGGAGAGGCTCAGCTCTCTCAGCTTCGCTTCCCAATACCTAAGGTAGGGAGGGACGGACGGACGGAAGAGTCCCACTAACCACACACACACACACACTACACTGAGTCTGAAAGCAAGACACACATTCCACTGTATGAAGCCGAGCCTGATGAATGAATCAATTAATTTCCTACCGTTGTTTTGTTATGTTAGAATGCAACCCATCCCTTATGGCAGTATTGAATTCCAATTTTGTTAATGTAATAATTAAATCACTATAATATATGTATGAACTCAGTGATTTTGGTCTCTCTCCTCCCAGGGCGTCCTGAGGATTCACTTCCTAGAGGCCCAGGACCTGTTAGCGAAGGATATGTTCCTGGGAGGGATGATCAAGGGCAAGTCAGACCCGTACGGGGTCCTTCACATCAACAACCAGCTGTTTCGGAGCAAGGTGATCAAGAAGACCATCAATCCGAAGTGGAACGAAGTCTATGAGGTAGAGAAAATATTTTAAAGTGTCCACAAAGTGGTGCAGGAAGTTTTCTGAAGATGATTGTTACGTTGGGGAAAAAATTGATAGTATGAGAGGGAATGTCTTTATTGAATTAACTGAATGGGACTCTTTTACAATGTTGGAATGGGTGGGTTGTCTGACATTAACTACGTTACAGTACATTACCAACATGATGCCCTGTATGCAACTGAGAAGGTCTAACTGTAATAATGCCTGTTTGAATGTGACCTTCAGTCTATGGTGTATGAAAACTCAGGACCAAATAACCTGGAGATAGAGCTGTTTGATGAGGACCCAGACCAGGATGATTTCTTAGGAAGGTAAGTGATAGATCCTAATCGTTTGGGATCTTTCCTCATCATCAAAATCACTTTAACATCAAGCATGACTTCTGCTGTAGCGCATAAAGCTATCATGGATCAGCCACTCTCTCCAATGAACTCAAAGCATGTGTATATTTCCCTTGCAGGTTATTGATAGATGTCGCTGAACTTCAGAATGAACAGAAGGTTGATGAGGTAATGTGTCTTTTTGTTTTATGACTCCTTTCTTTCTCAATGGAAACACTCAATTGTAAACATCTGTGATCATCCAACACACTGAATTCCGTCTGTTCCATTCCAGTGGTTTGTGTTGGAGGAAGTGGAGTCCGGAAAGCTGCACTTAAAACTGGAGTGGCTGTCTCTTCATCCCACTCGTGAAAAGCTTGATCAGGTATTGCCTTTATCTACACTGCTCAAAAAAATTAAGGGAACACTTAAACAACACAATGTAACTCCAAGTCAATCACACTTCTGTGAAATCAAACTGTCCACTTAGGAAGAAATACTGATTGACAATACATTTCACATGCTGTTGTGCAAATGGAATAGACAACAGGTGGAAATTATAGGCAATTAGCAAGACACCCCCAATAAAGGACTGGTTTTGCAGGTGGTGACCACAGACCACTTCTCAGTTCCTATGCTTCCTGGCTGATGTTTTGGTCACTTTTGAATGCTGGCGGAGCTTTCACTCTAGTGGTAGCATGAGACGGAGTCTACAACCCACACAAGTGGCTCAGGTAGTGCAGCTCATCCAGGATGGCAAATCAATGCGAGCTGTGGCAAGAAGGTTTGCTGTGTCTGTCAGCGTAGTGTCCAGAGCATGGAGGCGCTACCAGGAGACAGGCCAGTACATCAGGAGACGTGGAGGAGGCCATAGGAGGGCAACAACCCAGCAGCAAGACTGCTACCTCCGCCTTTGTGCAAGGAGGAGCAGGAGGAGCACTGCCAGAGCCCTGCAAAATGACCTCCAGCAGGCCACAAATGTGCATGTGTCTGCTCAAACGGTCAGAAACAGACTCCATGAGGATGGTATGAGGGCCCGACATCCACAGGTGGGGGTTGTGCTTACAGCCCAACACCGTGCAGAACGTTTGGCATTTGCCAGAGAACACCAAGATTGGCAAATTCGCCACTGGCGCCCTGTTATCTTCACAGATGAAAGCAGGTTCACACTGAGCACGTGACAGACGTGACAGAGTCTGGAGACGCCGTGGAGAACGTTCTGCTGCCTGCAACATCCTCCAGCATGACCGGTTTGGCGGTGGGTCAATCATGGTGTGGGGTGGCATTTCTTTGGGGGGGCCGCACAGCCCTCCATGTGCTCGCCAGAGGTAGCCTGACTGCCATTAGGTACCGAGATGAGATCCTCAGACCCCTTGTGAGACCATATGCTGGTGCGGTTGGCCCTGGGTTCCTCCTAATGCAAGACAATGCTAGACCTCATGTGGCTGGAGTGTGTCAGCAGTTCCTGCAAGAGGAAGGCATTGATGCTATGGACTGGCCCGCCCGTTCCCCAGACCTGAATCCAATTGAGCACATCTGGGACATCATGTCTCGCTCCATCCACCAACGCCACGTTGCACCACAGACTGTCCAGGAGTTGGCGGATGCTTTAGTCCAGGTCTGGGAGGAGATCCCTCAGGAGACCATCCGCCACCTCATCAGGAGCATGCCCAGGCGTTGTAGGGAGGTCATACAGGCACGTGGAGGCCACACACACTACTGAGCCTCATTTTGACCTGTTTTAAGGACATTACATCAAAGTTGGATCAGCCTGTAGTGTGGTTTTCCACTTTAATTTTGAGGGTGACTCCAAATCCAGACCTCCATGGGTTGATAAATTTGATTTCCATTGATAATTTGTGTGATTTTGTTGTCAGCACATTCAACTATGTAAAGAAAAAAGTATTTCATAAGATTATTTCATTCATTCAGATCTAGGATGTGTTATTTTAGTGTTCCCTTCATTTTTTTGAGCAGTGTACTTTGCATCCCAAATTGCACCCCATTCCCTATATAGTGCAATACTTCTGACCAGGGCCCATAGGGAGTAGGATGCCATTTGGGACACAGTTAGATCAGTCTGTATGTTAATGGTTTTCAGTCCTTCAGCTTTAAGACACTTAACATTAATAGGTCTAAATATTCCTCCATCCACTGGAGAATGAGTGAGTAGATTAAACTATGTAGATTACAGGGATAAATTGGGGAATCCAAGAGGGAGTGCTCACCCTGTTTGAACTCTGTAGTTCTTATTTAACATCTGTACCATTAGTCTACTCCACGAGAGGTTGGTGGCACCTTAATAGGAGAGAACGGGCTCGTGGTAATGACTGGAGCGGAATTGCTGGAATGGTATCAAATACATCAAACACATGGTTTCCAAGTGTTTGATGCCATTCCATTTGCTCTGTTCCGGCCATTGTTATTTCCGCTCATAGATCCCTGTAACACCAAATGCTGTGGGTTCGCGCCCCAAATGGCACCCTATTCCCTATATAGTCAATTACTTTTGACCAGGGCCTATAGGGCTTTGGTCAAAAGTAGTGCACCAAATAGGGAATAGGGTACCATTTGGGTCACAACCTGTGTTTCTGCAGTCCATTGTATCAGTGCTGATGAGACACATTATTCTATGTTTGACCAACATTACAGATTGCTCCTAATATATTGGACTAGTGTCCTGTCTAGGGGGAGTACATCAAGCTGCCTCACACTACAGAAGCGCTACAGTAACTACTGTGGTAACTATTTACTTTGGCTGTGTCCTCTCCCAGGTGCTGACCAGCATCAAGGCTGATAAAGGCCAGGCTAACGACGGCCTGTCGTCTGCCCTGCTGGTGGTCTTCCTGGACTCGGCAAGGAACCTTCCAGTAAGTCACTCTACCTGTGGTAAAGTCACAAGAAGAATAGGAAAAACATTGCTTTATCTCCGCACAACTTCATTGACCTGTTAGTTATGAGATGGCAATGTCAAGTTTTCTGCTGGCCACAAAACATGAGGCATTATTGTGCCTGTCTACTAGTCATGAGACGGTATGAACCACCCAGTTCACCCCAACTTCTCCCACCTTCCTCTTCCTCTGACCTCTTCCCTTCCCCCTCTCATAATAATGTTAATATTCTCTACCTCTATTCCCTCCATCTCAACTAGTCCCTCACACTAATAGTCTGCCAAAGGGATACATTATTGTACCTGAAGCTTTCTTTCTATATCACCTGTGAAATAACATAATTCATTTTGGCTCTATTTGCATAGATGCATAGCATAGGCAAACCCTGCTTCACGTTTCTCTTTTCAGACTCCTCTTCTTCTTTGGTTTCTTCTCTCTGTTTCCCTCCTCCTCTGAAGAGTGTGTTTGAGGGGAACTTGGGTTCTGGCTACTTAAGAGCGGAGAGCTTCGGGCCTAGTCTTTTGTGAGAATACTGCCTCTCTCTATAGGACCTAATATGTGAGTCCTCTGGCATATTGCATCCTAGTTTTATTTTGCCACAGTGTGATTTTTTTGGTAACGATGATTGAAACAAGAAAGTAACCAATAAGCATGTTGATTGTCATATGACGAATTTCTGCACAAATGAAGTTCTTGTAAAGAAAATCATTTTACATTAAAAATATAGTGATTTTGACAGTGAGGCTATCAGTCATGGTCATAGAATGATGCCTTGTATAAAATATATTAACAAAAGAAAGAGGCTTGTTAGGGAGACCTCTCTGTGGATTGCTTTCCCTCCATCCCGCTCACCCAGCCATTCCTAGCCCGTTGGTGAGTTGTTGCCTCAGCAACAAACACTCTCTCACTAGAGGGCAGCATTGTATCATGGGACTCTCACCCAGTCTCTCTTAAATTCCAGACATAACTAGTGATCTCAGAGCATCTCCCAACTCCAATATCCTCTAACACACCCCTCCCAAATCAAATAAAACCACAGTACTTAGTCTAAAAGCCTTTAAACTCAGCCTGTCATCATTGACATTACTTATCAAGACATGTTAACCAGTGGTGGCTGGTACCACTTTAAATCGGAGAATGGGCGCATTGTAATGGATGGAGTGGAATAAATGGAATGTTACCGAACACTTTGAACACATGGTTTCCACCATTACTATGAGCCGTCCTCACCTCACCAGCCACCATTGATGCTAACTATGCTCCAGAGATGTGTAGTCGACAACAAGAATGTCATTTTTAACAACACAAAATGAATAGGTAATATGATACAGAATGCAAGGATATTATGCAAAGTACTGAATGCAATGCTTCACTCTGGATTAACATTATTATTAATTTGTACTGTAGATTAATTTGTTGCTAGAAGTGATGTCTGTGTTGTATGAAAGTACTCATCAAGAGATTGACTTTACTCCATTTACCCATCAAGAGATAGTACAGTATCTGGAATGACATAGATGTACACTAAACAAAAATAAACGCAACATGCATTACAGTTCATATAAAGGAAATTAGTAAATTGAAATAAATGAATTAGGCCCTAATCTATGGATTTTACATGACTGGGAATACAAATATGGGGTGTGGATCAGAAAAAGCAGTCAGTATCTAGTGTGACCACCATTTGCCTCATGCAGCGCGACACATCTCCTTCGCATAGAGTTGATCAGGCTGTTGATTATGGCCTGTGGAATGTTGTCCCACTCCTCTTCAGTGGCTGTGCGAAGTTGCTTGACAGGAACTGGAACACACTGTCGTACACGTCGATCCAGAGCATCCCAAACATGCTCAATGGGTGACATGGTGAGTATGTTGGCCATTGACGAACTGGGACATTTTCAGCTTCCAGGAATTGTGTACAGATCCTTGCGAAATAGGGCTGTGCATTATCATGCTGAAACATGCGGTGATGGCGGCGGATGAATGGCACGACAATGGGCCTCTGGATCTCGTCACGGTATCTCTGTGCATTGATATTGCCATCGATAAAATGCAATTGTGTCCGTTGTCTGTAGCTTATGCCTGCCCATACCATAACCCAACCGCCACCATGGGGCACTGTTCACAATGTTGTCAGCAAACCGCTCAAGACCCTGGTGAGGACGACGAGCACGTAGATGAGCTTCCCTGAAACGGTTGCTGACAGTTTTCGCAGAAATTATTTGGTTGTGTAAACCCACAGTTTCATCAGATGTCCGGGTGGCTGGTCTCAGACGATCCCGCAGGTGAAGAAGCCGGATGTGGAGGTCCTGGCCTGGCGTGGTTACACGTGGTCTGCTGTTGTGAGGCCAGTCGGACATACTGCCAGATTCTCTAAAACAACGTTTCATGGTAGAGAAATAAACATACAATTCTCTGGCAACAACTCTGGTGGACATTCCTGCAGTCAGCATGCCAATTGCACGCTCCCTAGAAACTTGAGACATCTGTGGCATTGTGTTGTGTGACAAAACTGCACATTTTAGAGTGGCCTTTTATTGTCCCCAGCACAAGGTGCACCTGGGTAATGATCATGCTGTTTAATCAGCTTCTTGATATGCCACACCTGTCAGGTGGATGGATTATCTTGGCAAAGGAGAAATGCTCACAAACAGGGATGTAAACACATTTGTGCACAACATTTGAGAGAAATAAGCTTTTTTATGCTTATGGAAATGTTCTGTGATCTTTTATTTCAGCTCATGAAACATGGGACCAACACTTTTTATATGTTGTTTATATTTTTGCTCAGTGTACATACAAAACACCATAAATATCCCCATTTAGGGTTGCAAAATTCCTCCATCTGGGATTTCTAGAAAACTTAGAAATGTTGAAAGTTACCAGAATTTTGCAGCCTACCCCAATTATTACACTCTTTTCACAAAGACCATCTCACTCCTGTCACTGGACTGCTTTGTCAGTGTTGGAATGGTCCTTCTGTTTTCTCTATATTGTATGCTCCTCTTAATCTCCCATAATGATTTTCCTGGGTATGTCACTGTCAATACTCTTCGTGATTAATTTGGGGAACCTCTATTCATTAACCTTGCGTTCATCATGTTGTTTTTGTGTCTCTGTCTGTCTCTACCTGTTGTCCTGGTTTTGGTGTGGTCAGGTGTGTGGCCTTCATCGTCGCTCCTTCCATGATTTAACCACCTCCTCCTCCTCTTGCATGCCCTCTCCTAATAACTAACCTAGTGTGTTCATTCTCTCATGCCTTGGGGAAAAAGCGCAATCCTTTAGAATTCAACCATGACGGTTTGAAGTAGGCCTCAGTCAGTAAGGCCATCAAGGTAATGTAACAACAGTGCATGCAGAGCTAGCCAGACAGACACACTGAGGAAGACTAGAGGCCAAGTTTGAATACCTTAAAAAGCACCCTTCCCGTAACACAGGAAGCGATGGAGTCGAAGCTATGTTTTCATCTGTCCACTCACAGATGCATTCTTAAGGTATTCTAACAGGGCCTAGACACACACTGCAATTAGCCCTGTGACCAGAGAATAACACTTTAGTAGGGGAACCAAATACAGTACCATGCTGTAGGCTATGTGCGTTATCCGTTAGGACATTTAGTATTGATCAGTTGATACTCGTTTCCTGAATACAAATCTGTTGATTATTAAGTAGTAAGCAATTTGTGAAAGTGGAAAGCAATTCAGTTGACTAGACTAGCATAAACTTTATTGACTGATTATATCCCAGTGAGGAGTATTGCTTACAAGTTGTTTCCCACCCATGTATTCCTACAGGACTGCTGCTGGAGCATTCAAAATGCCTTGCCAGTTGATTTGGGTTCCTTGTTTTGTGTTATTAATTAACAAACCCCAAACTGTACTAATTGTGTTTGTGGACTAAAACTGCCTTCCATGCACCATATTCTAATATTCTGATGATGTACGTAACAACTGTGTTGTATGAGATAATTAACACCCCAAGAAAATCTATCTTTATATAAGTGTTTCCTCTCTCTTCCAATTTCAACTCTATTTCCTGGTGTTATGGGTTTTTTCTATAGACAATTATGTAACTACACTACTTACTTCCTGATCTCAAGTTTGTATGCTGCCATATTGAGCCAATGAGGGATGAATATGGGGCCTTATATCAGGCCACATAATTCGTTTTTAATATTAACAGAAACTTTATTTCAGAAATATAGAACAATTTTATAATTCAACCATTCTAAATTTGGGATGCTCCATAATTAAATAAATTAAGTTAATCGATATTTAAACATGTGTATATTAAATATGATGAGACAAGGATAGGGTGATAAAGTAGTACCGATTAAGTTAACATCTCACAGTTCAAAAGGTTATTCTGTGTTTTTATACCTGTTCTTTACATTTCAGTCTGGTAAAAAAGTGATCAACATCCCGAATCCTTTTGTCCAATTCACAGTCGGGCACAAAACATACGACAGCAAGGTAAGCCAACAGACCATGTTTCTTAGTCTATATAGTTCCCATATATTTGTATATTATATAAACAACATACTGCAATGCCATGTGAATAGCATATTCCTGGTCGTTTTCACTGCCTCTAACATGGTCCTTCCCCAACCAGACAAGGTATAAGACCAACGAGCCTGTATGGGAGGAGGCCTTCCCTTTCCTCATCCACAACCCAAAAATCCAAGAGCTGAAGATTGAGGTAAGGGTTGTAGGCATGCTTTTCCTACTGAGTGACCTCAAATTGTTTCCCATTTAATTTGACCTCTATGGCTATACACTTAAAATTTTAGTCATTTAGCAGATGCTCTTATCCAGAGCGACTTACAGTTAGTGCATTAATCTTAAGATAGCTAGGTGGGAAAATATCACAGGCATAGAAAGTGCAAGTGCTGGTTCAGGTTTTATTTTATTTTTGGGGGGAGTGGTCGAGGTGAGGAGGAGGATTATTTAAGACACTGTTTTCAGATGTTTTTGGAAGATGGGTAGGAACTCTGCTCTCCTAGCTTCAGAGTGAAGCTGGTTCCACCAGTGGGGTGCCAGGACAGAGAAGAGCTTGGACTGGGCTGAGCGGGAGGGCCAAGAGACCTGAGGTGGCAGAACGTGTGCTCGGGTTGGGGTGTAGGGTTTGAGCATAGCCAGAAGGGAGGGAGGGGCATTTCCTCTTGCTGTTCCGTAGGTAAGCACCATGGTCTTGTAGCGGATGCGAGCGTCAACTGGAAGCCAGTGGAGTGTGCGGAGGAGCGGGGTGACATGAGAGAACTTGGGAAGGTTGAAAACCAGGTGGGCTGCAGCGTTCTGGATAAGTTGCAAGGGTTTGATGTCACAAGCGGGGAGCCCAGCCAAAAGCGAGTTTCAGTAGTCCAGACGACAGATGACAAGTGCCTGGATTAGGACCTGCGCCGCATCCTGTGTGAGGTAGGGTCGTACTCTACGGATGTTGTAGAGCATGAACCTGCAGGAACGAGTCACTGCTTTGATGTTTGCAGAGAACGACAGGGTGCTGTCCAGGGTCAAGCCAAGGTTCTTTGCACTCTGGGAGGGTGACACTGGAGTTGTCAACCGTGATGGAGAGGTCTTTGAGCGGGCAGGCCTTCCCCGGGAGGAAGAGCAGCTCCATCTTGTCAAGGTTGAGCTTGAGGTGGTGGCCCGACATCCAAGTTGAGATATCTGCCAGGCACGCAGAAATGCGTGTCGCCACTTGGGTGTCAGAAAGTGGGGAAGGAGCAAAGTAGTTGAGTGTCAGCCGCATAGCAATGATAGGAGAGACCATGTGAGGATATAACAGAGCCGAGTGACTTGATGTATAGAGAAAAGAGGAGAGGGCCTAGAACCAAGCCCTGGGGGACACCAGGAGTGAGCGTAAGTGGTGCAGACACAGATCCTCTCCACGTCACCTGGTAGAAGCGGCCTGCCAGGTAGGATACAATTCAAGAGTGTGCAGAGCCCGAGACGCCCAGCCCTGAGAGGGTGGAGAGGAGGATCTGATGGTTCACGGTTTCGAAGGCAGCGGATAGATCTAGGAGGATGAGAACAGAGGAGAGAGAGTCAGCATTGGCAGTGCGGAGAGCCTCCGTTACACAGAAGAGTAGTCTCTGTTGAGTGACCCGTCTTGAAGCCTGACTGGTTAGGGTCAAGAAGATTGTTCAGAGAGATAACGAGAAAGTTGATCAGAGTCAGCATGCTCAATTATTTTGGAAAAAAAACAAGGGGTACAGGTCTATAGTTTTTGACATCAGATGAGTTGAGTGTTGGATTGTCAGGGCGGCCAGACCTCACTAGTTGCAGGATTTCATCTGGAGAGAGAGGGGAGAAAGAGGTCAAGGCGTAGGGTAGTTATGTGTGAGTGAGACCAGTGGACTCAATAGGCTGAGTAAATGAGTAGCGGATGTCTTCAACCACCTTTTCAAAGTGGTTGACAAAGTTGCCCGCAGAGAGAGAGGAGGGGGTGGAGGATTAAGGAGGTAGGAGGAGAAGGTTTTAGAGTGGTAGAAAGTGGCTTTAGCAGCGGATACAGAGGAAGAGAGGAGGGAGCTGTAAGCTCACAATGCCACGGAGCAGGAGGGGAGGGCCGAGCCAGCCGGGAGGAAGGAAGGAAAGGGGACGGTGTGAGTCAGGATGCGGAAATGGCGGAGAGTAGAGTCGAAGAGGCAGAATCAGGAGACAGAATCAGGAGACAGGAGGGAGAAGGATTTAGCAGAAGGAAGAAATTATAGGAGAGGGTAGTGGGAGAGAGAGAGCGAAGATTGTGACGGTGCATGACAATGGGTAGGGGCTGAGTGGTTAGGGTTGGAGACAGAAAAGGAAACAAGGTAGTGATCAGAGACCTGGAGGGGGGTTGCAGTGAGATTTGTAGGCGAGCAGCCTCTAGTAAAGATGAGGTCAAGCATATTGCCTGCCTTGTGAGTTGGAGTGGATTGGGAAAGGGTGAGGTCAAAAGAGGCAAGGAGGGGAAAGAGAGAGTTGGAAAGAAATGAATCGAAGGCAGACATCGGGAGGTTGAAGTCGCCAAGTACGAAGAGCGGTGAGCCATCGTCAGGAAATGAGCTTATCAAGGTTTCAAACTCATTGAGGAACTCTCCAAGGGTACCTGGTGGGCGATAGATGACAATAATGTTAAGCTCGAGTGGACAAGTGACAGTGACAGCATGGAATTCAAATGAGGAGATGGACAGGTGAGAGAGGGAGAAAATAGAAAATCTACACTTAGTAGAAATGAGTAGACCTGTGCCACCACCGCGACAATCAAATGCGATTAGACTATGAGAGAAAACGTAGTCAGATGAAGAAAGAGAAGCTGGAGTAGCAGTGTTCTCTGGGGTGATCCATGTCTCTGTCAGGGCCAAAGAGTCAAGGGACTGGGCAGCATAGGCTGAGATGAACTCTGCGTTCTTGACTGCAGATTGGCAGTACCAAATGCTGCCAGAGACCCGGAATTCCACATGGGTTGTGCGCGCAGGGTACACTAAATTAGAAGGGTTGCAGCCAAGGGGTGGGAAGCGTCTGTAAAGCCTACAGGGAGATGAGCGAACAGGTATAGAAAACACACACATAGTTGCCAAAGCTACAAAAGAGCAAAATGAGATCATAAGAAAATAACTAGGTAAGATATTAAAGTGAGAGAGTGGTGTGGAGCCTTCCTCTTTACTTCTTCGAAGAACTCGTCAGAACAGTCTTTGTTTCGGTGACGGTCTTAGTTTTGCGACAAAACCGCCACTGACACGACCGCCGCTTACAGCTGCCACTGAGAAACCAGGGGAGACTGAAGTACTAGCACTAACTGCCTAGCAGCGGTGGAGAGCACACCTCCCTGTACTAATTGCTGATTGCCTAGGAGAGGTGAAACCACTCTCCCTCCATACAGCCACTTACTAAAACTTAAACAAGTCACAAATTGCCCTGCTCCTTAATCCTGGTTGATGTGTCAACAGCTATCTGCAAAATGATGAACAGTCAGCAGTTCACACACCAAGTAGGCCACTGGGAAGACAGGTGTGGCCTTACATCTGATTTTGACAAAAGTGGGATTATAGTGGAGACTTTGGCATCCCAAATGACACCTTATTCCATATTTAGTGCACTCTATGCTAATAGTGCTCTTGTCAAATGTAGTGCACTAAATAGGGAGTATTTGTGATGCACACTATGGCTATAGTATGGCTTTACAGATGATTTAGTGTGATTATGGTGTGGGATTTAGCGGATTTTGTCTACTGGTTTAGCAATGCATGAAAATACTGGTTTGCAGGAATTTACTAAACTCAGCATATCTATGAAATTCGGGGTGCACGGAGCATGAGAGGGAATTTCCCAGCTTTTAGTGTCCGGGTCTATAAATTCCAGCTACTGTCGTACCTGTACACAGCCTATTTGTAAGTGCACTAGAGTTTACAGTAACTTGACACCTGGTAAACTTCCGCTTTCATATATAAAAAAAAAAATGTATGTCCCCCCTCAGGTAAAGGATGAGAAACATGCTTGTTCCCTGGGGACTCTGAGCCTGCCCCTAGCCCGTCTCCTAGAGGCTGAGGACATGACGCTGCACCAGCGCTTCGATCTCAAGAGCTCTGGGCCTAGCTCCACCCTCAAGATGAAGATGGCACTGAGGGTAAGGGTCCATGAGTGTCTGAATAGGGCTCTTTTAGTCATGCACATTTGTCTGTGTCCCAAATAGCTCCCTAGTGGTTCCTCAATAAAAAGTTGCGTAATACTGCAGTATAGCGTGGTACGGCACGGTGTGTTACAGTGCTTACCGTTAATGCTCGTTCGAACAACCAGAGGGCAGCTTTGAGCACATCTACTCCATGTATTGATCTGGGCATTTGAAGCCGAGCAGAGATCATCATGCCATGCAATTGTGAATACATTTCATGATTAAAATGTAATTCTATATTTAATTGTAAGCACACATCCGTTAATACAATCTGTGTTTGCTTCTTTGCTTACATTATTTGACTGCTGCAGTTTGAGAGTATATATAAAAAAGAAAATAAGTGTTACAGTAGTCTATGTAGGCCTATAGCCTACTGCACCTACAGTGACTTGCAAAAGTATTCACCCCCCTTGGCATTTTTCCTATTTTGTTGCCTTACAACCTGGAATTAAAATGGATTTTTTGGGGTTTTGTATCATTTGATTTACACAACATGCCTACCACTTTGAAGATGCAAAATATTTTTTATTGTGAAACAAACAAGAAATAAGACCAAAAAACAGAACTTCAGCGTGCATAACTACTCACCCCCCCCAAAGTCAATACTATGTAGAGCCACCTTTTGCAGCAATTACAGCTGCAAGTCTCTTGGGGTATGTCTCTATAAGCTTGGCACATCTAGCCACTGGGATTTTTGCCCATTCTTCAAGGCAAAACTGCTCCAGCTCCTTCAAGTTGAATTGGTTCCGCTGGTGTACCGCAATCTTTAAGTCATACCACAGATTCTCAATTGGATTGAGGTCTGGGCTTTGACTAGGCCATTCCAAGGCATTTCAATGTTTCCCCTTAAACAACTCGAGTATAGCTTTAGCACTATGCTTAGGGTCATTGTCCTGCTGGAAGGTGAACCTCCGTCCCAGTCTCAAATCTCTGGAAGACTGAAACAGGTTTCCCTCAAGAATTTCCCTGTATTTAGCGCCATCCATCATTCCTTCAATTCTGACCAGTTTCCCAGTCCCTGCCGATGAAAAACATTCCCACAGCATGATGCTGCCACCACCATGCTTCACTGTGGGGATGGTGTTCTCGGGGTGATGAGAGGTATTGGGTTTGCGCCAGACATGGTGTTTTACTTGATGGACAAAAAGCTCAATTTTAGTCTCATCTGACCAGAGTACCTTCTTCCATATGTTTGGGGAGTCTCCCACATGCCTTTTGGCGAACACCAAACGTGTTCGCTTATTTTTGTCTTTAAGCAATAGATTTTTTACTGGCCACTCCGTAAAGCCCAGCTCCGTGGAGTGTACGGCTTAAAATGGTCCTATGGACAAATACTCCAATCTCCGCTGTGGAGCTTTGCAGCTCCTTCAGGGTTATCTTTGGTCTCTTTGTTGCCTCTCTGATTAATGCCCTCCTTGCCTGGTCCATGAGTTTTGGTGGGCGGCCCTCTCTTGGCAGGTTTGTTGTGGTGCCATATTCTTTCAATTTTTTAATAATGGATTTAATGGTGCTCCGTGGGATGTTCAAGGTTTCTGATATTTTTTTATAACCCAACCCTGATCTGTACTTCCCCACAACTTTGGCCCTGACCTGTTTGGAGAGCTCCTTGGTCTTCATGGTGCCGCTTGCTTGGTGGTGCCCCTTGCTTAGTGGTGTTGCAGACTCTGGGGACTTTCAGAACAGGTGTATATATACTGAGATCATGTGACACTTAGATTGCACACAGGTGGACTTTATTTAACTAATTATGTGACTTCTGAAGGTAATTGGTTGCACCAGATCTTATTTAGGGGCTTCATAGCAAAGGGGGTGAATACATGCAGTGGGGAGAACAAGTATTTGATACACTGCCGATTTTGCAGGTTTTCCTACTTACAAAGTATGTAGAGGTCTGTAATTTTTAACATAGGTACACTTCAACTGTGAGAGACGAAATCTAAAACAAAAATCCAGCAAATCACATTGTATGATTTCAAGTAATTAATTTGCATTTTATTGCATGACATTTTATTGTTCTCCCCACTGTATGCACGCACCACTTTTCCGTTATTTACCTTTTAGAATTCTTTGAAACAAGTTATTTTTCATTTCATTTCACCAATTTGGACTATTTTGTGTATGTCCATTACATGAAATCCAAATAAAAATCCATTTAAATTACAGGTTGTAATGGAACAAAATAGGAAAAATGCCAAACGGGATGAATACTTTTGCAAGGCACTGTAAAACATCCGTTAATATAAGTCCTTCAAAAATAGAAATATGGGCAGAATATTGTATGAAATACTCGGATGGTTAAAGGCCGATATTTGGTCGTTTTCAATTAAATCTGGTAATTTCAATTTAAATGTGACTTGTTCCATTCGCCATTTTCTTGTTGATATTATATCCTTGCCTTTATTTACGATTATTTTCGTTATAAAGAATGTATTTTCTTCCAGGAGAACAACAGCCATTAACACCAACCTCAGCCAGTTTCGGCTGGCTTTGTCCAATTTAATTGCTCATCAAGGTGTGAACTGTGACCAATGTCCATCACTGTAAACCCAGTACTGTATTCTAAAAATTAAAACACAGCATCTTCAGTAGTATAAATATATGATCTAATTAGATTTGTAAAAAAGACTTTCAAAATGCTGATGTTTATTAGGCTACGGTACAGTGTGACAAAAAATAACAGGAAAATGAGATTTGACAAATGCATGGATTGTGACTCCATCTCGTCCCTCGCCCTCTTCGACGCGTCATTCTTCCCCTGACTCCGCCAATGCGGCCTGACTATGGACCAATGCATCAGCGGTTGCCCGTATCTCTGCCCTCTGAGAATTTCTCTTTCTGCTGGTCTGCCTTCAATGACTCGAATAACTACAAGTAGATCTACTGATTTGAACCCAATCAAACTTGTTTGGCATCAACTGAAAACAATTATCCGTAGCTCTGCCAAGCCTACAAGCAAAGATGAACATGTAAATGCCATCAAGGCTAATGTGGCTAATTGATTACCGGTATTCATCCTGTATCGCACTAATGTAAAGTGTGAAAAACGATAATACTGTTAGTTTGCCTGGTTGAGTGGATGAGCTGAACTCTTCAGAACCATCGGCAAAGTTCCTATTGAAGGCTTAGCCTATTTAGAAGTCTATTTTGCAGCATAAAGCTATATTTGTTATTTGTCACACTGTATCAAGAGAACAGAAGATAAATTCTGGTTTCAATGGTATATGAGGAAGCGTTAATACATTTATTCCCTCAACGTTTGTATGGTCGGATTTTAGTCAGGCTATCGAAGCAAGGTAAGAAATGCCTGATTTAAGTCTATATGAAGTAAAACATCCAGATTTCAAACATTTTATTATGGTTTATGTTCTCTCCCAGCTTCATGGTTTGAAAGATGTGTGTAATTTAATTCCATATACAGTGGGGGAGAAAAAAGTATTTAGTCAGCCACCAATTATGCAAGTTCTCCCACTTAAAAAGATGAGAGAGGCCTGTAATTTTCATCATAGGTACACGTCAACTGTGACAGCCAAATTGAGATTTTTTTTTTCTCCAGAAAATCACATTGTAGGATTTTTAATGAATTTATTTGCAAATTATGTTGGAAAATAAGTATTTGGTCACCTACAAACAAGCAAGATTTCTGGCTCTCACAGACCTGTAACTTCTTCTTTAAGAGGCTCCTCTGTCCTCCACTTGTTACCTGTATTAATGGCACCTGTTTGAACTTGTTATCAGTATAAAAGACACCTGTCCACAACCTCAAACAGTCACACTCCAAACTCCACTGAAGAAATCAACTGTGGGAGCAATTATTGACTAAATACTTTTTTCCCCCCACTGTAATAGGCCTACAGTAGGCATTCCAATGAGTTGGGTCCGGGGCTGTTGGATCCGAATCTGTTGTGTTTATACCCAGCTTAAACAACACATTCTTTCTGATTGTCTTTATGCAGTCTCTCTCCTCGTGCTACAGCTCATGTCGTGTGAATTATTATGTGGATTATAATACATTGACATATTTGTAGGGGGTTGATACATATTTCGTTGGGGCAAATCAGGTCTGTGATTCTGACTCTCTGCCAATGCGGCCTGGTACTCCGTCAATGCCGCAATTTTCTCTGCCCTCAGAAATGTTTTCTCTTTCTGCTGGTTTACCTTCAATGGCTCGATCTCGGTCTTCAAAGTTTGAATCTATTCCATGTGCACTTTCATCAGATGAGCAGAATGGTACCGCCCTGTGCCCATAATATTTGCTAAACTAAAGACTTTAAAACCTTTTTTTGTTAGAACAGACTATCTGGGATTGATTATAATTAGTTAGTAAATTATTTTAGTGTTTGTTTTTTACACCGTTCCAAATGGTCAGAAAAATATTGTAATCTAACAGGACCTGTTTGACATGCATATTGTAATAAGCACGTAGCGCTCGCTTTTCCTACCATCCTTCTTCATCTCCTTTTATATTATAATACACTAAAGATCCTAAGCTAAGATCCTAAGAGGGGAATTGCATTAAATCAAATTATTAATTTCCAATGATTTGCCGTCCATAAAGACAGTGGTGTAAAAATACTTGAAAGTACTACTTAAGTAGTTTTTTGACGTATCTGTACTTTACTTTACTACTTTTACTTCACTACATTCCTAAAGAAAATTATATACTTTTTACTCCATACATTTTCCCTGACACCCAAAAGTACTTGTTACATTTTGAATGCTTAGCAGGACAGGAAAATGGTCCAATTCACACACACACAAGAGAACATCCCTACTGCCTCTTGTCTGGCGGACTCACTAAACACAAATGCTTCATTTGTAAATGATGTCTGAGTGTGCCCCTAGCTATCCGTAAATAAAAATAAATAAAACATTGTGCCATCTGGTTTGCTTAATATAAGGAATTTTTAATGAGTTATACTTGTACTTGTACTTTGGATACTTATGTATATTTTAGCAATTACATTTACTTTGATACTTAAGTATATTTAAAACCAAATACTTTTAGGCTTTTACTCAGTAGTATTTTATTGGGTGACTTTGTCTTTTACTTGAGTCATTTTCTATTAAGGTATCTTTACTTTTATTCAAGTATGACAATTGGGTACTTTTTCCACCACTGCGTAAATACGGGGTGCCGCTAGTTAATATATATTTATCATGCATTCCTGATTGGACATGTTAGATGAAACAACTTGAGTTGAGAATATTGGTATATCCAGACACCAAAAAGCTGAACAGATAAACATATTTTTGATTTGCAGGAGGGGGGAATTGCATTAAATCTAATTATTAATTTCCAATGATTTACCACCCGTAAGGACGGGGTGCCGCTAGTTGTTATTACATTAATTGTTATTATTACCATTAATAATAAGTAATGTCATTATTATTATTAGTAGGCTTAGTAGACTTAAATAAATCATTGCATATAACCATGAGGCGCCTTCTTTCTTCAATATAATCATTCATTCATCACGTTAAAACCAATATGAACGCTGCGCGTGCTCCTACCCTCACTCAGATAATAATAACAATAATAATAATATGCCATTTAGCAGACGCTTTTATCCAAAGAGAATTACAGTCATGCGTGCATACATTTTTTGTGTATGGGTGGTCCCGGGGATCGAACCCACTACCTTGACGTTACAAGCGCCGTGCTCTACCAGCTGAGCTACAGAGGACCAGATGACTGACCACAGTATCTATCGGTAGCCTAAACTGTAGCACAAATTTTTTTTGCACACCTAGCCGAGCTATTAGACTGTCCTTTTGTAAATTAATGGAGGTGTGAATGTTTCTGTCCGAGAGTCTCTCTCCTCTCGCACTAGAGTCCTGCATCAGGCAAAAAAATCAGCTGGTGGGTGGTCCCGGAGTTGAGCTTATATTCGGTTCTGGGAGTTGTTTATTTAAGTTTCAATTAAACTATTTTATTATCTAAACAATATTAAATGTAAATATTTTGTTTTGTTATATCGGCTATAGGCTTTCATTAGTTTATTAGAAGGCTATTTTAAAGCGATTTTGAGTTGTCAATGTGCCTCAATGCGTTGTGAAAAAGATAATTTCATGGCATGGTTTCTTTTTATCCAAATGTTGAATAGACATGCAGACAAATTGATTCATGCAGGAAAAGAGGAATAATAGCCTACTGTAAACAATTAGGCTAAATCAATCAATGTTATTTTGTTGGGTAACTGGTCGGCTTTTGAAACACATAAGAGGCGGCGCCTTTTTTCAATATAATCACTCATTCGCAACACGCATCTGATTATTCATAATGAATAGGATTTATTTGATTTAATTCGTTTACATACTTCATTGTAACCACAAAGTCACACACAATTGAACAAACACACACAACATGAGCAGATTAACTTGGTCAAAAATGTTCTTTATTAAAGACAATCAGAAAGAATGTGTCAGTACTTATTTATTTTGAACCAAAGCCTCGAATGAGCGAGTCACTCAGCTTTATGCTGACAAATGTCGTTTTATGCTGCAAAATTAACTACTAAATAGGCCAAGCCTAAACAAAATTGCGTAAATAAAATAAACTAGTAAATGTAATAAATAAATTAAATACCGCAGGTCTTGAAAATATGGGCAACCTTTTTTTCTTCTGTATCCACAATGTGCATTTTTATGGAAATCTATTACAGTAAGGTACTGTACTTAATTGTTACCCTGAAATGATTTGAAATTGATATAAAAAAGGTTGCATTGGGCCTTTTAACCTGAATGCAATTATTTAAAATATTGCTTTAGATTCAAATATACTACACATTCTTCAAGTGGAGTGTCTCATATCATTATGTTTTATCCTCTCCAACCTCTATGTCCCACTTGTGCAGGTTCTGTGTCAGGAGAAGTTAATAGCGTCCGACCAGACGTCCTCGGTGCAAGTTCGTAAGACCAGCACTAGTAACCCCATCCCCATGAAGAGCTTGCCAGTCTCCAAACCCCCCAACCCTGACCCTGTCTCAGACCTCTCACGCTCTGTGGCCGCCTCGACCCAGGAGCTCCACAGGAGAGAGGGGGATGGCGAGCCCTACTCAGGGGGCCCGGTAGGCATCAGCCTGGCCGACGCAGGCAGGAGCACCCCCAACCTGGCCATCTCTGGCTCACACAAACACCTGGCCCACTTTGGGTCAACAGTCAGTATCGCCTCGGACATCTCCAACCCGTACGCCACACAGGAGCTCCAGCAGAGGCTGAGAGAGTTGCAGAAGTAAGTACGCACAAATACATTGATACATCCACATACATGTCATAGACTGTTCAATCTGCTACCGCACGGCAAGCAAAGTCTGGAACCAACAGCACCCTGAACAGCTTCTACCCCCAATCCATAAGACTGCTAAATAGTTAGTCCGGGTAGCTATTTGGTTATCTGCATTGACCCCCTTTTGCACTCTCTTTTGACTCTGTTGCCTAGTCACTTTACCCCTACCTATATGTACGTGTTGTGTTACCTCAATTACCTCGTACCCCTGCACATCGACTCGGAACTGGTACCCCGTGTATATAGTCAAGTTATCATTACTCATTGTATTTATTCCTTGTGTTTATTATTATTATTTTTAAATCTCTCTGCATTGTTGGCAAGGGCCCGTAAGTAAGCATTTCACTGTTAATCTACAGTGGGGAAAAAAAGTATTTAGTCAGCCACCAAAGTTTTCCCACTTAAAAAGATGAGAGAGGCCTGTAATTTTCATCATAGGTACACGTCAACTATGACAGACAAATTGAGAATTTTTTTCTCCAGAAAATCACATTGTAGGATTTTTTATGAATTTATTTGCAAATTATGGTGGAAAATAAGTATTTGGTCACCTACAAACAAGCAAGATTTCTGGCTCTCACAGACCTGTAACTTCTTTAAGAGGCTCCTCTGTCCTCCACTCGTTACCTGTATTAATGGCACCTGTTTGAACTTGTTATCAGTATAAAAGACACCTGTCCACAACCTCAAACAGTCACACTCCAAACTCCACTATGGCCAAGACCAAAGAGCTGTCAAAGGACACCAGAAACAAAATTGTAGACCTGCACCAGGCTGGGAAGACTGAATCTGCAATAGGTAAGCAGCTTGGTTTGAAGAAATCAACTGTGGGAGCAATTATTAGGAAATGGAAGACATACAAGACCACTGATAATCTCCCTCGATCTGGGGCTCCACGCAAGATCTCACCCCGTGGGGTCAAAATGATCACAAGAACGGTGAGCAAAAATCCCAGAACCACACGGGGGGACCTAGTGAATGACCTGCAGAGAGCTGGGACCAAAGTAACAAAGCCTACCATCAGTAACACACTACGCCGCCAGGGACTCAAATCCTGCAGTGCCAGACGTGTCCCCCTGCTTAAGCCAGTACATGTCCAGGCCCGTCTGAAGTTTGCTAGAGTGCATTTGGATGATCCAGAAGAGGATTGGGAGAATGTCATATGGTCAGATGAAACCAAAATAGAACTTTTTGGTAAAAACTCAACTCGTCGTGTTTGGAGGACAAAGAATGCTGAGTTGCATCCAAAGAACACCATACCTACTGTGAAGCATGGGGGTGGAAACATCATGCTTTGGGGCTGTTTTTCTGCAAAGGGACCAGGACGACTGATCCGTGTAAAGGAAAGAATGAATGGGGCCATGTATCGTGAGATTTTGAGTGAAAACCTCCTTCCATCAGCAAGGGCATTGAAGATGAAACGTGGCTGGGTCTTTCAGCATGACAATGATCCCAAACACACCGCCCGGGCAACGAAGGAGTGGCTTCGTAAGAAGCATTTCAAGGTCCTGGAGTGGCCTAGCCAGTCTCCAGATCTCAACCCCATAGAAAATCTTTGGAGGGAGTTGAAAGTCTGTGTTGCCCAGCGACAGCCCCAAAACATCACTGCTCTAGAGGAGATCTGCATGGAGGAATGGGCCAAAATACCAGCAACAGTGTGTGAAAACCTTGTGAAGACTTACAGAAAACGTTTGACCTGTGTCATTGCCAACAAAGGGTATATAACAAAGTATTGAGAAACTTTTGTTATTGACTAAATACTTATTTTCCACCATAATTTGCAAATAAATTCATAAAAAATCCTACAATGTGATTTTCTGGATTTTTTTTTCTCATTTTGTCTGTCATAGTTGACGTGTACCTATGATGAAAATTATAGGCCTCATCTTTTTAAGTGGGAGAACTTGCACAATTGGTGGCTGACTAAATACATTTTTTCCCCACTGTACACCTGTTGTTTACGAAGCACATGACAAATGCATTTGATTTGATACACACACATATGCACCATTTTACAGTAAACAAATTGACAACAGACTTTCAGCACGCTTATTGGGAAGGACATTCAACAAGCACAGCACTTACACAAATGACTGATTGGCTGAGAGAAATTGATGATAAAAATATTGTGGGGGCTTTGAGTAAAGCCAGTGTGTCTATGTATGAGGATGACTCAACACTATACACGTCAGCTACTACAGCGACTGAAATGACTGCAACACTTAACAACAGACACACGCATACGCAAACAAGCGCTACCACACACACTTTACACACACGTAAATTGTAATATTGTTGTATGGTGGTATTATACATTTTGTGTTGTGGATATGTGGTGGTGTGACAGTGTTATATGATGTACTGTTTTATCTTTGGTTAAATATGTAATGTAAGTGTCTTAATGTGTTTGGACTCCAGGAAGAGTAGCTGCTACCTTGGCAGCAGCTAATGGGGATCCCTTATAAAATACAAATACCACATTGTGACATAATTAAAGCATAAAATACAAAGACATTGACAAACCTGCAGATTATATTACAGACCTAATGTGAATGATTTTTTTGTTATTAAAACAATGGGACTAATGTGTGTGTCTCTGTCCACAGTGGCTCAGCTGGTCATGTCCCCCTGGGTGAGGTGCATTTGACTGTCAGACACAGCTCTCAGAGGAACAAGCTCATTGTGGTTGTACATGCCTGCCGGTAAGAGACATGACGGGAGATTTAGGCTGCGTCCCAAATACCATTTAGGATGCATCCATACTGTAGCTTCCACATGTTATTCTATACACTAGCTATTGGAGAATGTATCATATTCTGTTATCAGATTTATCCACTCATTTTTATTTTTCAATGTACAAGCTTTTTTTTGACCACAGACCTGAAGCGCAATCATTTTTATAATAGTTTTCTTTTAACCGGTTACACTCGTGGGAATGGGCCTATATGGATAGGGCTACATGTAAATGTTTTTTACAGAAGAAATATGAAAAGTATATGCATAACCATGGTAGCAATTGAAAGGGAACAGTTTGGATATTATGGGAAAATTATTAGACCAAAGTTGAGACCCAACAGTTCACCTGACACAAGACTGAATCCAAACATTACACTGTTGATTTTATGTGCATTTTACATTCACTGTACTTTTCGCCGCATTTGTTGATAACGAAATCTGAAAATCTGGCCACATTCCAAAGTGTGCACAGTTCCTAAGTAATTTCAATGCACTTTTATGACTCAAAGAAGTCTTCAACTATAAGGTGTTTTTTTGAGCTCTCCTAGCTGTGCCAGTGAGGAACTAGAGCAAGGACACTTGTAGTTGTTTTTGTTTGGAACACAACGCTGCATCCCCGCCATCACACAATTACTGTTGTTTACGCAATCCAAAAACGGCCCATTTTAAATTGCAATATGGGTCAGGTGGGCATCATTTGAAAGCTTGTTCTATTGCCAACATGACTAGCTAAGTAAAATAATACGATCTTAGTGTTTGGCTTTCACAAGGAAATTCAAATAAAAATATTGTAATTATGGTGCGCATAGAAAGGAGTCATGTGTGCCACAGTGAATTTTCTTCACAACAGACAAACAGGCTCATTCTGTTCAGAACAACCCAGGGTATGACGCCATGTCATCTAGTAACTGTACATCAAACATAGTGATCATAAACGTTGACACTGTATATGACATTAGTATAATGATATGGAAATGGGAAGTGCACATTCGGACTCACGGGTGTTTGGCTGGCTTGTATGACATCAAAGCTGTATTTTATTATAATTCTCAACGTCTCCTCTTTCAAAATACATAGAGTCCTCTTAATTAACAGCATTTCCCTCACTCAGTCAACAAAACATTTGCAAAAGTTGCCAATTAGCGGGAGGGATGTGGGCAACTTGTCGCGTGCGGTGCTCAAGTCAGTCAAAACCCATACAGTGCTGTGAAGCGGAGACCCTGAACTCTGACGTCATTCATCGAATGTTACTGTACAGCCACTGCGTTCCAATTTAGGTGCTTAACAGTGCCCAAATCTGTCATTTTCCACCTGTATACGGGTACGAGTGTAAAGGGCTACCCCAAATTATGTGATACAGTTTGATCTTTTTCTCTCACTCTATCTCTCTACCTCCACTCTCTCTGCCTCTCTCTCCCACTCTCCACAGAAACCTGATTGCGTTCACAGATCATGGGTCGGATCCGTATGTGCGGCTCTATCTTCTACCTGACAAGCGAAGGTCTGGGAGGAGGAAAACCCACACGCACAAGAAGACACTGAACCCTGTTTACGATGAGACGTAAGTTTAATCATTCCTCTTTATTCCTCTTACCATCAAACATCAGTGGGTTGACTGGTAGTCTACTGGTAGTCATTGTATAATTGAATTGTTTGTGTGCATGTGTTGTCAGATTTGAGTTCAATGTGTCGATCGTGGAGTTGCACAGGAGGACTCTGGATGTGGCGGTAAAGAATGGAGGAAATATCTTGTCCAAACACAAAGGGCTGCTGGGGCAGGTGAGACTGGACCTCTCCTCCTACAACAGCACTGTGTCTATACATACTCCTTTTGTTACTGGATGACATACAGTAACTGTGAATACACATTATTACCTGTCCAAAGCTCACTTTTCCTCCTTCATATCATGTCATCCTGACAGGTGGTGGTGGATTTGACTAACGATGATATCGTCAAGGGATGGACACAATGGTCAGTGAAAAAAAACAACTATATATATATATATATATATATATATATATATATATATATATATATATATATATACATACATACATACATACATACATACATACATACATACATACATACATACATACATACATACATACATACATACATACATACATACATACATACATACATACACACACACACACACACACACACACACACACACACACACACACACACACACACACACACAGTACCAGTCAAAAGTTTGGACACACCTACTCATTCCAGGGTTTTTCTTTATTTTTACTATTTTCTACATTGTAGAATTATAGTGAAGACATCAAAACTATGAAATAACACATATGGAATCATGTAGTAACCCAAAAAGTGTTAAACAAATCAAAATATGTTTTATATTTGAGATTCTTCAAATAGCCACCCTTTGCCATGACAGCTTTGCACACTCTTGGCATTCTCTCAACCAGCTTCACCTGGAATGCTTTTCCAACAGTCTTGAAGGAGTTCCCACATATGCTGAGCACTTTTTGGCTGCTTTTCCTTCACTCTGCAGTCCGACTCATCCCAAACCATCCCAATTGGGTTGAGGTCGGGGGATTGTGGAGGCCAGGTCATCTGATGCATCACTCTCCTTCTTGGTAAAATATCTCTTATACGGCCTGAAGGTGTGTTTGGTCATTATCCTGTTGAAAAACAAATGATAGTCCCACTAAGCCCAAATCAGATGGGATGCGTATCGCTGCAGAATGCTGTGGTAGCCATGCTGGTTAAGTGTGCCTTGAATTCTAAATAAATCACAGACCGTGTCACCAGCAAAGCACCCCCACACCATCACACCTCCTCCTACATGCTTTACGGTGGGAACTACACATGTGGAGATCATCCATTCACCCACACCGCGTCTCACAAAGACATGGCGGTTGGAACCAAAGATCTCAAATTTGGACTCCAGACCAAAGGACACATTTCCAACGGTCTAATGTCCATTGCTTGTGTTTCTTGGCCCAACCAGGTCTCTTCTTCTTATTGGTGTCCTTTAGTAGTGGTTTCTTTGCAGCAATTTGACCATGAAGGACTGACTCACACAGTCCCCTCTGAACAGTTGAGATGTGTCTGTGACTTAACTCTGTGAATTATTTGGGCTGCAATTTCTGAGGCTGGTAACTCTAATGAACTTCTCCTCTGCAGCAGAGGTAACTCTGGGTATTCCATTCCTGTGGCGGTCCTCATGAGAGCCAATCATCAAAAGCGCTTGATTGTTTTTGCGACTGCACTTGAAGAAACTTTCAAAGTTCTTGACATTTTCCAGATAGACTGACCTTCATGTCTTAAAGTAATGATGGACTGTCGTTTCTCTTTGCTTATTTGAGCTGTTCTTGCCATAATATGGACTTGGTCTTTTACCAAATAGGGCTATCTTTCTCTCTCCCCCCCCTTACCTTGTCACAACACAACTGATTGGCTAAAACGCATTAAGAAGGAAAGAAATCACACAAATTAACTTTTAACAAGGCACACCTGTTAATTGAAATGCATTCCAGGTGACAACCTCATGAAGCTGGTTGAGAGAATGCCTAGTGTGTGCAAAGCTGTCATCAAGCTGTTAATACATGATTACATAGGTGTAATTTCAAAGTTTTGATGTCTTCACTATTATTCTACAATGTAAAAAATAGTAAAAATAAAGAAAAACCCTTGAATGAGTAGGTGTCCAAACTTTTGTATGTATGTATGTATGTATGTATGTATGTATGTATGTATGTATGTATGTATGTATGTATGTATGTATGTATGTATGTATGTATGTATGTATGTATGTATGTATGTATGTATGTATGTATGTATGTATGTATGTATGTATGTATGTATGTATGTATGTATGTATGTATGTATGTATGTATGTATGTATGTATGTATGTATGTATGTATGTATGTATGTATGTATGTATGTATGTATGTATGTATGTATGTATGTACATACACTACCGTTCAAAAGTTTGGGGTCACTTAGAAATGTCCTTGTTTTCCATGAAAACATACATGAAATGAGTTTGAATAGGAAATATAGCAAAATGAATAGGAAATGTAGTCATTGACAAGGTTAGAAATAATGATTTTTTTTTAAATTGTGTCCTTCAAGCTTTGCTTTCGTCAAAGAATCCTCCATTTGCAGCAATTACAGCCTTGCAGACCTTTGGCATTCCAGTTGTCAATTTGTTGAGGTAATCTGAGGAGATTTCACCCCATGCTTCCTGAAGCACCTCCCACAAGTTGGATTGGCTTGATGGGCACTTCTTACGTACGGTCAAGCTGCTCCCACAACAGCTCAATAGGGTTGAGATCCGGTGACTGTACGGGCCATTCCATTATAGACAGAATACCAGCTGACTGCTTCTTCCCTAAATAGTTCTTACATAGTTTGGAGCTGTGCTTTGGGTCATTGTCCTGTTGTAGGAGGAAATTGGCTCCAATCAGGCGCCGTCCACAGGGTATGCAAAATGGAGTATTTAGCCTTCCTTCTTCAAGATCCCTTTTACCCTATACAAATCTCCCACTTTACCACCACCAAAGCACCCCCAGACCATCACATTGCCTCCACCATGCTTGACAGATGGCATCAAGCACTCCTCCAGCATCTTTTCATTTGGTCTGCGTCTCACAAATGATGTTCTTTGTGATCCGAACACCTCAAACTTCGATTCGTCTGTCCATAACACTTTTTTTCCAATCTTCCTCTGTCCAGTGTCTGTGTTCTTTTGCCCATCTTAATCTTTTCTTTTTATTGGCCAGTCTGAGATATGGCTTTTTCTTTGCAACTATGCCTAGAAGGTCAGCATCCCGGAGTCGCCTCTTCACTGTTGACGTTGAGACTGGTGTTTTGCGGGTACTATTTAATGAAGCTGCCAGCTGAGGATCTGTGAGGCGTCTGTTTCTCAAACTAGACACTCTAATTTATTTGTCCTCTTGCTCAGTTGTGCACCGGGGCCTCCCACTCTTTCTATTCTGGTTAGAGCCAGTTTGCGCTGTTCTGTGAAGGGAGTAGTACACAGCGTTGTACGAGATCTTCAGTTTCTTGGCAATTTCTCGCATGGAATAGCCTTTATTTCTCAGAACAAGAATAGACTGACGAGTTTCAGAAGCAAGTTCTTTGTTTCTGGCCATTTTGAGCCTGTAATCGAACCCACAATTGCTGATGCTCCAGATACTCAACTAGTCTCAAGAAGGCCAGTTTTATTGCTTCTTTAATCAGCACAACAGTTTTCAGCTGTGCTAACATAATTGCAAAAGGGTTTTCTAATGATCAATTAGCCTTTTAAAATGATAAACTTGGATTAACAAACACAACGTGCCATTGGGACACAGGACTGATGGTTGCTGATAATGGGCCTCTGTACGCCTATGTAGATATTCCATTAAAAATCAGCCATTTCCAGCTACAATAACCATTTACAACATTAACAATGTCTACAATGTATTTCTGATCAATTTTATGTTATTTTAATGGACAAAAAATTGCATTTCTTTCAAAAACAAGGACATTTCTAAGTGACCCCAAACTTTTGAACGCTAGTGTATATTTTTTGTACAATTGTTAATACAATTAAGTCCAGTGATGTCCAGTCATGTTCACATGTTTACACACATATTTGGGAATTCTTAGAAGAATTTCATAAGAGCTTTCATCATAAGAATCAAGGAATCAAGCATAGAATAAGTGTTTGTTATTCCATATTTTTATTTTATGTTTTACAATGTGTCTCCTGTCTTTGCTACTAGGTATGAGTTGAGTGAGCATGGTCTGAGAAAAACTATCCAGCAGCTATAGACTTCACGGTGAGAGGTAGAGGAGGACCTAACCAAGTCTTCACACACGTATCATTGCCACCAGGGCCCTATGTGTCAATCATAGTCTGTAGAGTAGTGCTGATTTAGTGCTTTTTGGATAACAATGAATACGATTCATGGTTAGGTGTGAAATGATCCTAGATCAGCACTCCTACTCTGAGACGCTTCGCTCATACGGCCCCTGAGCAAACGTAACTGACTTTTTCATACAATTGCTTTTAAACCCATGGGCAATTTCTGGGGGGGTTTCCCTTTTTTTAATGATGGTTTATTTACAAGACTTGCAATTGTAAAAAAATATATATATATTTTGATATTCATTTATACACATCAGTTGCATCGTTATCTCTCCCCACTTAGAAATTATCCAGTGCAATAGTAAGAAAGGGAGTATGTGTTAAAACAAATTATATATTTTTTCTCCGTATTTTAAAAGAAAATGATTTGAGGACTGTAACAAAATATATATTTTCTTGCTACGGCTGTTACAGCAGGTTTTGCTGCATTGTTTTATGTGGGGAATGTACAACATATGAATATGTAAATATGTACAATGACAATGAGGACTAAAGAGAAGGTTTATTATAGTGTTAGTAGAGGTGGGTTTTGCTTGGTCAAAATGACCATTTTTATTTTATAATTCAACAAACTACATGCAAACCAAATCAGAGCTAAGTTGAACTATGCCAGTCTCTTCTCTAGGGGAAATAGGACACCATGTATAGTACTTGGCCACCAAAGAGACAATAAAATAAAATACTTGTCTATGTTGGGTTTTAACTAAACCAAATATGTATGCTTGTTTGCACACTATTCGTTTCTGCATGTTTAGTCTTTTAAAGCATCAGCAGTGTTAGCAACAGTAATAATAACATAACTTGGCTTAGTTAACCTCACAGGGATATTCCAGCCTTCTTCAAATCATTGTGGCTTATGATAATTGATTTCCCAACTCTGA